TTCATATCATAACTCTTACCAGGTGAGTATTAATACTATTGTTATCCCAGTTTACAGGTGAGAGAATGGAAGCTTAGAGACAGAAAGTGACAGTGTCACATAGTCCATTAGTATGCTGAAGCAATGCTAAAGGCAGCTATGATGTTCAGTACATGCTCACTGAGTGACTGTGAACCACAGGGACACTCCTGGCCAAGCTCAGCCGTTTAAAGAGGGACACAGTCATGGGGGGTGGGGGGTGGGTTCTCACCATGCTAAAGGCCCTTTCCCAAGGTCAGATCTGTCTCTTTCTCTCTTTCTCTGTCTGTCACTTTGTCTCTGTCTCCCTCTTTCTCACATGTGTGCGCGCACACACACGTACACACACACGTGGACACACTCTCACAGACATGTTCACACACACTCACATAATACACTCATAACACATACGCACACTCTCTCTCACACACAATGGCTGGGGGGGAGCCTATGTTAATTAGTTTGACTGTCGTAAGTTATTTCACAGTGCAAATGTGTATTAAATAAGCAAGTTGCACCAGGCGCTGGTGGCACACGCCTTTAATCCCAGTTCTCGGAAGGCAGAGGCAGGTGGATCTCTGTGAGTTCGAGGCCAGCCTGGTCTCCAGAGTGAGTGCCAGGATAGGCTCCAAAGCTACACAGAGACACCCTGTCTCGAAAAACCACAAAAAAACCAAGTTGCATATCTTAAATATACACAATAAAAGTAATCCAACATAACTAACTGTGGAGATAGACAATCTGAGTTCTTAGCACAGGAGGTAGAAAAAGGGGTGTCTGTTGCCAGCCTCTTCTCCAGTGTGGGTGTCCTTTCACCTGCCCCCCAGTAGAACCCACAGTTTGTCTGCCACTGGTCTTTCCTCCCATAGTGAAAATTCAAACAGACCGGTCTCCATGCATCCTTGGGTCTCAGCCAGATCCTAGAGGAGTGTCTCCAGGTACCCACCCCCTCCAGCAGGGTTCTACCGCTCTGGGCCCTCAGTTTCCTAGCATCCTCCCTCTTATCAAACCTGTTCTCTGTCTCCATGGTGACACTGCCTCACCCAGCTTCCTTGGGTGGCCTGGTTGCCTCACAGGGTAAACCTCTGAGAACATTTTCCTAATGTGCCGCCAGAAGCTTCCACTTCTGGTGCCCAGGGCTACCCCTCTCAGTGCCACACCCTTCGCTCCACAGCCTCTCCCATCCCTCCCACCACACCATGCTGTGTCCAGTTGAGAGGACACATGGCCCCTCTGGGTATCCCAAGGCCTACTGTCAGCTACCCGCCACACCCTCTTGGCTGTCAGTGACAACAGTTCTGGGCTCAGGGAAAAATAAAAATTTGGTGTCCAAAAATTATTAAGAATTTCCTAATGGCAGCAGTAGATAATTAAACCTGGGTACTCCAGAATGTGGGGTCCTACGCAACTGAATAGACCCCATGCCCTGAACTTAGCCCTGGAGAGCCATGTGTATGAGCATGTGTGTTGTGTTATATGTGCTATGATGTATGTGTGTTGTGTGTGTGACATGTATGAATATGGTATATATTTGTATGTATTTGTCTATGTATGTGTTTTGTGTATGTGTGCATGTATAGTACAGTGTGTATGTGCATGTGGTATGCTATGTGGTGATATGGTGTGTGTAGTATGTATTATGTGTGTATCGTATGTGGTGTGTGTAGTATGTGATGTGTGTGTGTGTAGTATGTGGTGTGTGCAGTGTGCGATGTTGCAGGCGCCAGCTCCCTACACGATGTGTGTGTGTAAGGGGTGGTGTGTGTGGTATGTGGTGTGTGTAATGCAATGTGTGTGGTATGTATGGGGCATGTAGCAGTGTTCATGGGTGTGATGTTGTGTACATGTGATGTATGGTGACTTTACTGTGTGATGTGGTGTTCATGTTCACAGTGGTAGGGCAGCATTTGTGTTTAGGTTTGGGTATCCCGTTCAGCCACAGATCAGCTAGATTCCCATACAGCATCACTGGCGCTGTATCTCCATGGGCAAGGAAATAGACCGAAGGGTGAGCAAAGGCAGGAAAAGAGTCAGGCTTGTCCAAGGTCACACAGCCAAAGGAAGTCTTCCCAACATTGAGGGAAAGACCTGGGGAAGCTGCTTTCTTCTCCCAAAGAGCCTCTGCCTTCCTCATAGGTAGACACTCCAGGATACTTTGCAACTTTGAAAAGCTATAGCTCCAACACACAAACTGCTGAATGAAGGAAGCACCTGCGTGTGGGACACATGGATGTCCAGGGCTCTGAAAGACAGCATAGGAAGGCACATTCAGACACTATGCATCTCAAAATCACATGGACAATCACGTTGGTCTTCTAGGACAGTCATGGGTCAAAGCTTGACAGGACAACCTCTGTTCTGGGAGTGTCTCTCTGTCATTCCCTCTGCTCCCTGAAGGGTCTCAGCGCCATCCTTTGGTGTCAGTGTGGAGAATCTGGGCTTTGGATTCTCTGCTTGGCCTCCCTCCTCCAATCCTTGCTTTCCTTCGCTGCCTTCCCCTTCTCCTGGCACCAGCCTCACCCCTTTCCCTTTTGTGAGAGCCAGGTTGAAAGGGACTCCGCTGCTAGACACCATTTGAAATCCACCCTCCAGCCCCACCTGGCCCCTCTACAGCAGCTGGGCTGGGTGCTTGTCTGGGGCAGGATGTGGGGAGGTGGGGCTGGGGGTGGGGTGCCACCCCCTCCTCCCCAGGGGAGAACAATGAAGCC